TACAGTCAACAATTACGGATCTTTTCAGCAAGATATAAATGTTTTCCTTAATTATTCAATTCTTTTAAGTTTGAAACTGGATGATAAAAGTGTCTAAAATGTTTTTCGAAAGTTAATCAGAGTTGACAAGTTTTATTCTGCTTTCCCGAATTTCGTCAAATTTCTGGAAGATTCTTGATACTGTGCTTCCATGTCCTGCTCGCATGGATTTCAGCTTCGAATGTATTCTGGTCAAGGCATCAATATCGTAACGTTGGTAAATTTGGAAACTATTGGCTAACAAAAACAAAGGCATTTGTTTTTGTTAGCCTCTATTGCAACTCTATTATCAATATGTCACACTTATGTGACGTTATAAAGAATAGCAGCGACGGGATTGTTGGTTGTGTCCGTTAAGGCACATATAGAATGTGGTAGTGTTAAACATGTTTATGATTGCTCAACCCTCTCCTGTCTAGCTGCTATGTCATGCAGAAGTAGAATCAATTAGATTCAAATTGTAAGATATATGCGAAAGCAGCATCATATGAATGGTCAATTATAAGTGTCCAAATTTTTAAAATGTTTAAAAAAGATCTCTAATGAATTTTGCAAGGATTTTTGTAAAGCTTACGGTTATAAACCTTATAGATTGTTGACTGAATCCCTCCGTATGATGATCATTTGACCATACATGCAATTTGATTGTTGTAAATTGAATGTTGGTGAATAAAGATTGCAAAATTATTGAAAAAGAATAAAAAATTGTACAAACATAACAAATTAATGATAACAAAATTACTCTAATTAGCTGTCAAAACTGTAAAGACTTAATTATTTTAGGGTGTATCACATGCTTGGCAAAAAATGATTATTGTGATATTGGGAAGTTTTTGATTTTCAGTTGATTTCTATTGCCAAAAATGATTTAATGTCTTCTTGCTATCATTTGATACAGAATGCAAATTTTCTAATTTCAGGTGAGCTCCAAGAAGAAATTTATGAAAAAGAAAAAATCAGTCGAAAAGAAGCTGTTGCAAAACTAATAGATGTAGTAACTGACAATGAAGATTTGACTGGAAAATTTGCAACTGCCTTGACTAAAATAGGTAACACTGAAGGTGTGATCCCTACTTAAAAATCTTTAACCTCTGTCACATGTAGATATTCAAGTCAATACCATTTCAAAACTGAATCGTAACTTTTTGTCCATGACTTTTTGTGTGTGACTTTTTGTCCTGTGTTTTTAGTTTTTTTTTTATGCGAAATGTTGAAAATTTTTATACATGTATATCCAAATTTAGAGCAAATAAGGAATAATTTGAGAAATACAAAATGTGTGCGTATATTTCATCATACAGAACGTTTATTTTTTAATATTTTGTTGTCATTGTTTATTTTTCACCATGAAAGTACTAGAGAGAGACAAATATACAATCATATTTAAAATACTTTTTTTTTATTTATTTTGAGAAATCATCGAATTTAACTCTTTTGTGCATATGCACACTTTGTGTATATGTCAACAATATGGTTTTAGTCAATTGTTCATTAAAAAGTTTCAATTTAAGTTAAAATGTAAAATCTTTGACAAACTGAATTAAACTTTGCTAACTTTATATTTTTGCTAATGACTTTAGTTTGGATAAAAATTGAACAAAATATTAATCAATTACAAAAATCTCAGTTGTTTGTCAACACTCTCTGCAGAATATGTTTTTGGGACTCGTTATTCTCGTATTTACAGTTATTATAGCTCATTCTACTTTTATGACAGTAATGTTTGCCTTGAAAATAATAATCTAGCCAGAAAGACCTTTTAAATTTAAAATTTTTCAAACCCATATTTAAGTATAATTTCTAGGTGGATATTTAAAGAATAATCGTTTCAATTCTTCAAAGTATACCAGTTTTGGAAACAACGCATTAATGAACAGATTTTATATGAACACAATTAGGTTGAAGAAATTAAATTTGATTATCCCCCCTTTGTTCATGGTAGACCTCCTATCCTCAGGTAATGTTCTACAACTGTGTTAAGTTTTATTAATAATTATCCAACCAGGCAGGCATATGTTCAGATGGACATAAGTTCCTTTTATAAGTTCACTATTTATAGTCTCAAATGTGTTCAGCTATTAAAAGACTATTTTCATATTACCGACTTTTTACCCCGGAGTTTATATTTTTCGACAGGTTACTTACTCTTTGGTAGGAAATCTAGGTACTCGGTCAAGTAAGAGCAACTTAAAGAAGTAAGATCAAGTTTACAATTTAGAGGGGAAATTAACTGTTTTCTATACACGACAAAATCATCGGAAAACAGTAAACAGTAAACTTTCCCCCTAAATTGCACAAATTAAACGTTTGATTTTAATTCATTTGGTTGCTTTTACCTGACCGAGTCCCGGGATGTCTAACTTGTCAAAATTGTTTTAATCAGGAGTCAAAAGTCGGTAATATGAAAATAGTCTAATGGTTTTAATAATATTTTTGTGTTAATTTCCTTTTATAATTTTATTAATGTAGTATGTGGTTGAAAAGTTTTAGTACAATTTCATAATTTGTAAACCGAAAATTTACAAATCAAATGCACCATTTAAATCTTAACCTACAGATGGTATAATATAATCATTTTATGCAGAAATCACAATGTTCAAATAGATAGAGCACGAGCAATATATACTGCAAATATATTTCAAAATTGTTATGTTACCTTTTTTCTAATTTTTCATCTTTATTTAAAAAAAAAGAATCTTTATAATTATATGTTATTATAAACTATACTACTAAAAATTATATAAGTGTTGCAGGTGTTTTAAACTACATTGAACAGAAGTTTACAAAAAGTAAAATAACAAAAAATATCGAACTCCAAGGAAAATTCAAAACGGAAAGTCCTTTAGCAAATGTCAAAATCAAAAGCTCAAACAAATCAAATCTCAAACAAATCAAAAGCTCAAACAAATCAAACGAATGAAAAACAACGGTCATATTCCTGACTTGGTACAGGCATTTCCTGATGTAGAAAATGGTGGATTAAACCTGGTTTTATAGCTAGCTAAACCTCTCACTTGTATGACAGTCGCAATAGAATTCCATTATGTTGAAAACAATGTGTGAGCAAAGCAAACAGGCATAATAGGCAAAAATGTCAATAATTGGGGTACAGCAGTCAACATTGTTTTATAATCTGAATCACTATAAAACAAATAACTATTTCAACAAAGAAAAACTAAATGGCACATAGACAATCTATAGACAAATTACATGAGCAAAAATAAGACAAGAATACAAAAATGACTAATAACACAATAGCGGGATGTATAAATACCGAGCCACGCCAAAAGTATATTACCAAAAATGGACTATACAGTAAAGGTTGAAAATATACAAAGACAAATAAAACATTATAACACTTAATTAAGATGATAAACAACGTCAGTACCGACAATCCATAATGTGCAAGTAGCAAATCATGTGATCTCTTTTATATGTAATCATCTGATTGTTTTATTTTTTTTTCAATTAAAAACTTCATTATTTATACCTATTTCAAACAATTGAGGTGTTATAGTTTTGCCATATCAATAAAAGTTTTAATTTTAAAATCACCAACGAAAGTGGCCAATTGAATAAAAACACAAAATGAATTACAAATTATAGAGTACATGATTGTATTAATTAATGCAAACTATACAGAAAAACAAAACAAACACGTTTAAGTATTGCTTCAATCGAAACTGTTTGCTGCTTTCGTATCAAAACAGATTAATACAAATTAAAAGGAATCAAAGCCCTGAAATCAAAGTTGGAGTAATATGACAAACCTGTTTTTAATTGCATAGTTTATGTCTATTATTTCGGATCCTTTCCAAAAGATGAAAACCTTAAAGCTTTTTGTTCAGATGGCATGCGTTATTCTATGAATCAATTAAACCCCTTTAACAAAAAAATGAAACAGGATATATAACCAGAATCAATGACAACAGTTCCTGAACTTTCTTTCCAAACCAGTTGGTTATTTTCACTATATATTCATGCACATCTGTACATTAGGGAGTGTTTTGAAAAAGATCATGCTGATACATGTATGTGGTGTTAAATCAATGAGACAGAAATAAAACAATATAAATTAATTGAAACAGTACTGTTAGGGGAGTAATTAAGATGATACCTTTGAAATCCAACTTCTTGTGAAAATATAGAATAGATGCATTGATACCTCGATCATCCCTCAGAATTCTTAGAACTGCCACTACCAAATTGACTATTTTTTTCTGTTTGTTACTGTCTTTTTCCAGTATGTCTTTTATAAATACATTTTGCTCACCTTTCCAAAAGAAATTATTTCATGATCTGACACCAGTTTGTGTTGTTTGTTTGCTTATCTATTTTTTTTCAAATTTAAAAATCATGTTTGTGTTCATTTATTATTGCGATTGTTGAACAATAGACAAAAACATTTCGGAAGTAGTTATTGCGATTTCAGAAAATACTGTACAAATAATGCAATATAAATTTGAAATGAAAGATTTATTTTTGAAAAACCTTGTTGCAATTTTTACAATATTAAAAATATTGCAAACATCACTAATTTACAGGTATGACTACCAAAGCAGTAAGTTGGTTAAGGGCACTATTTCAAGCCCCAAATATTAAGTCCTCTGTTTCAAGTTAAAAAGGGACATGTAAGAAAGTGAAAAAGAACAATTTTTGTCATACTTTTCTTATAAAGCATTGGCATGTACACCCCAAATAGGCCAACTAGAGATGTCGGTGAGAGTTGACAAAAAGGTCTTGATTTCAACCACATTTAGGGAATGACCATTTAACTAAAAGAGGGGGGGGGGGGGGGATAAATGATTTTGGTCTAAAAATATTCTGATTCCCAACTTTGAAAAAATCAATATTTTGATCGAGCAGAACGTAAAAAGATTTCTGAATCAGAGTTTTAGCCATGACATTTGAAGTTAAATAACAAATGGGTGTATCACAACACCGACCATGGCTTGATCAATGAAGAATATCCAGATAGGGGAGATGAATTCTGTCAGGAATATTTTGCTTTTATAATACGTTATATGAATGAAGACATTATTGAGAATTTGGAACCAATGAACATATGTGGGTTTTTATACCAGAATGAATGCCTTGAAGATACCGATTTGACGGCAGTTAAATCAGTAGATTGTAGTGAAGGAAAGTATAAGGCATCTCAAGAACTGTTTTTCAGAATGCAAAGAAGAAGGAAGAATAACTGGCCAGTTTTGTTTATGGAAGCTTTAAAACATTCAGGAGAAGAAGCTGTTAAAGCTAAGATGGACCCTGCAGCGACAGAAGGTATAATTTGTAAAACTGTATAGTCAAACATATAAAGATATAAATCTGATTGATTGAATTCTGTGTTTTTCTTAAAAATGCCTTTGTAGATTTTTGCATATTTTTAATCATGTGAGGTTAAATATGTTTTGATAAACATGATAAAGGTTTGAATGTAATGTTAGAAAATAAAAAAATTCCTAATTAGGCGGGCTAATTAGCTAGCAATTTTGTATAATGGTTTTTATCTTAAAAAGTTAATATGGAAGGTCCACTTAACAGGGTTTTGAAAACAATCTTTAGCTGTTGTGTCGTAGTTCCATACATATGGAAGATACATATTGTTCTTTTGTACTTCTTGATATTAACTTTAACCTTGAGAAATTAATTTAATGACGAAATAAGTATTTCTCATCATCATCATGATTATAACTCTCTGGGCAATGTGTACAACATTATCCTGATTATTGCTTTCTTGTCTGTGAAAATATTTCAAATTATAGGAAATATTTCATTTTAGAGGATATAGTTCCAACTGAAATTAATTATCTGGCTGACAAAAATTCTGTTCCTTTGTACCTCAAGTTATTGGAGTCAGGATCTGAGAAAAAAAGGGACATTCGTTTAGTTACTGTTGGAATGAAAGAAGCTGGAAAAACTTCGCTACTAAAGAGACTATTTGGAGAAGAAATAAGTATGATAAGAGAGGTGGCCAGTACTAATGGGATCGAGATTCATAAAATAACATGTAAAGCAAACTTGGATGATGGCATATGGATTAAGTTAGATGGTTAGGCATTAAAACTTTAACACAATTGTTTCATTATTCTATAGACCAGAATGTCGTGAATATATATATATATATATATATACATATATATATAAAACGTCTGAATAATAGTCAACGATTTTTCCCACGAGGGCGCTGGATCGTTACGAGTAACGATACATGTACACAATAAATAAATTATATAAACGCCTAAAAAGTGTACACAACAACACCAATAACAAAAAAAAAAAACTATAAATGTAATTATTTATAAATATTTCGGATAACAGATATCCTTCATCAGTAAATATGATTGTGATGTTGAATGAATCATATATCAGTCTACTTAAATTAAACTATAACAATCTTGAAACTTATACAATAAAAAAGTCAAACCGAACATCAGGTAAGACGCTTTCACAATTCTAAATATGTGTTAAACACGACATAGGTTATATGACTAATTACAGCAGAGAGTTCAAATATAAGCTTTAAATAAAAATAATAATGTGCGATATGAACTAGCACAATTCTAAAGCTTTAACGGTGACGACAGTTATGATGTTACAAGAACGATTGCGTCAATAAGAATTCCAAATAAACAGCACTGAACGATCTAAATTTGTAAATATTTCAAATTTGACAACGGTAGAGTAGTTACAACAGAGTCTGCGTATTTAAACATCGCAAACAAACGGCCGTTAAAATATGATAATAAATTTTGACTAAGGTTAACTAGTTGAACGTGGCTTGGCACTTTTACATCCCTCAAAAAATTAAGAAATTTAAATTGGTATATTCAACAGATTTTAGAGATGAGTAAAGTAAAGAAATAGAAACAGAGACTGTAATAATAAGTAATATAATCCAAATGTGAAGCACTGCATGGAGTCGAACTACATCTTTTTATTTATTCCATTTGGTGCCAAAGTTGTTAATTTTCTTATCCAAAATCTTTCCCGAGTGAGTCTATCCTCCCTAGACCAAGCAGAGTTGTGGTCAATGATTGTAATGGTCAGTCGATTGAGATCTGCCTTAGTGTGGCCAGGGGATCTCAAATGTCGACTGAGAGGGAGGTCTGGCTTGCATTGGTAGTCGCTACGATGACCGTTCATTCGTTTGTGAAACGGCTGTTCTGACTCGCCAACATACTGTTTACCACATTTACACTGTAGGAGATACACAACATTTGTAGTCTTGCAATTAACATTGCAAAATATGGTGTATTCTGTACCAGTGGAGTGACTGTTAAAAGTCTGGGTAACCAGTATTTGTTTGCAAGTCAGACATCGTTTGTTCCCGCAACCCTTGCAAGAGCCCACAGACGAAGAGCCTGCTTGAGAGGATAAATCAGCTCTCACCAGCAAGTCTTTTAGGCTTTTGGGCCTACGGAAAGCCAGTACAGGTGGCTCGGTTAAGATCTTGGATAGTTTAGGATGTTTTTCGATTTCTTTCCAATTTTCGCGGATTAGGTGAGATAAGTTGTCAAATTTTGGATGGTAAGTCAACACAAAAGGCACCCTCCTGTTGACCTTTTTGACTTTATATTGTAAAAGTTCTTCTCGGCTGATGTTGTTAGCACGAGAAAACCTTTATCAATGTCTTTTCTTTTGTAGCCCCGATGTTTTAGGTGACCGCGAAGTTCTTGTAGTCGTTTTTTTGCAATATCGTTGGTGGAGCAAATCCTTTTTATTCGTATTGCCTGGCTGTAGGGAATGCTCTTGGTGCAATGTTTAGGGTGACAACTCAAAGGAGATAGATATTGATGTTTGTCTGTGGGCTTGCAATACAGATCTGTAAATATGTTTCCATCCCTCACTTGCGTTGTAGTGTCAAGAAATGTGATCTTAGAGTCAGAGATTTCATATGTGAATTTTATTGAGGGATGGGCATCGTTGGCATGTTGAATGAACAAATTTAGTTCTTGTTCAGTATTATCCCACTTCATGTCAATATCATCGATAAATCGGAACCAAGAGAGGGGTTGATAAAGAGAAGAATTGAGAATTCTCTGTTCTAATTTCCCCATAAAAATATTTGCATAAGACGGGGCCATCTTTGTTCCCATTGCTGTTCCATTAACTTGGAGAAAGTGTTCACCATTGAATGTGAAGTTATTGCATGTAATACCAAAGTTAGAAGCTGGATGAGACATTCAGTCGGTGGATGTAAGGTGTTACGAGAGTTTCAGACTTCCCTACAGGCTTCAATACCATCATCATGGGGGATGTTAGTATAGAGGGAGGTAACATCAAGCGAGACAAGGATCGTTTCAGGTGGGAGAGGGTTCAAAGATTCCATTTTCTTAAGATAATGTGTTGTGTCTTGTATATAGGATGGTAAATTTTCCACATGTGGTCTCAGATGAAAGTCAATAAATTCTGGTATTTTCTCTGTAGGGTGGTCATTGGCGAAAACAATTGGTCTACCTGGATAATTGACTTTATGTATTTTGGGCAGAATTATTTATAAATAATTACATTTATAGTTCCTTTTTTTGTTATTGGTGTTGTTGTGTACACTTTTTAGGCGTTAATATATATATATATATATATAGAAGTCTATAAAAAGGACCAACCAGCAAATTTACTATGTACCGGATCGTCTAGAATAGACGATACTGTGCAGATAAGGAAAAAAATTATATAAGTCTAGAGATTTGCACAACGATACTAATATAAGATGGTATTATACGAAGATGTTGTTAATAAATCGTGTTGACAAATATTTCGGCTTAACAAATAGCCTTCTTCGGTATATATATATATATATGAAGGAACAACATTCCATCTTAGTTCATGTTAAACTCATAGTTGGGGAATGTAAAATTTTTAAACTATAAATCGAAAAACATTCGTTCAAATTTCATGTTAGGCCCATTATTGACTCATATTATGAACCGGCACTTGTTCATGAAGTGTTTAAACCTGAATCAAAATGAACCAATTCTCATATTCAGCTTACACTCCTATGTAACTCGAGAAAATCTCTGGAAAAGCCAGTGAATAGAATACATTTTGATAACAACAAGATGAAGGTATGCAGTAAACATAACTGATGTACTAATAAGATTTCAGTATATCCTGTAGGCTATTAGATTTTTACCATTGAATTTATCCAAAGAACCTGTTTTACCATGATCCTATATCGTTATAGTTTTGGTTTTTTTTAATTTGAAAATTTGATTGATGTGAAACTGAGCTTATCATAAGATGAATAAAGTCCAGGATATTACTTTTGTTTTCATTGCAGTTTCTTTTTAATCTAAAACATTATCTTTATTATAAAGATCCCTATTGATTTTGAGTTAACTGGGTCAACAGCAAATAATAGTCGAAACATAGGGCAAGATTTTTGGTTTCAAGAGGTTTTTTAATGATTTTTCTTCCCTCCCCACCCTTAGGTTGAAATAATCCTTTGAAAAAAAAAATCATGACACCGATTGATTTCTGGGTTAAGTTAAAGTAACAGTGCCTTAAATAATCTGAAATTTTCATAATGTTATTTTGCAAGACAATGTCTTAAAATCCATATGTCGGATATTTACCAAACTTTGTTTAATCAATTCATTAAGAGAAGGAATACTTCTATTGATTGTAAGGTCACTATTTCAAGGGTACACCAGTTATTGATATTCTGAAATTAGGACTTAATTTAGGTTTCTGAATGATATCTTTTGAACCAAATGTCCAACATTTTAATACCCTTGGAAATACTACCAACATTACCTATGGAAAGAACAAGATCCCTCTAGTGTCAGTAGTAGAACAGACAAGTTCAGTCACAGGCACTTGTCTCTGAAAAAAATCAACTATATACTTTAACTTTAATATAACCGAACTATTTTTGAGAAATGACATTCGTTCGCCAACATCCGTTATATTCGATTCCGCGGTTATCTATCCCACTGAAACATGTTATGTCGTAAATTTACATTACATTGTCTACAAAATGGTGTATAACACTCCTATTTATGTTGTCGCAATCATTCGTAGCAGTCCTTCCAAGTAGGTGAACCGTAAATTATTTCGTCTTCTCACAGCCAAATGGCAATGTTAATCTCGCAGTGAATGATTAATTATATATATCTCGGTTTCCGATTGGTCAATCTTATTACTAGAAATAAATGTTTTTTGGAGTTAATTTTTGGGAAATTGAGATTAAATTAGAACCTAGTTTATCATTAGACATATCTCAAAATACACTTTTTTATCACGGTATCTTTTACACATTTACTGTCTAGATAATGAGTTGTATTCAGATAAAAAATTAACAGGTTTTTGTTAAATACTTTTTATAATTAATCATTCACTGTGTTGCCATTTGGGTGTGAGAAGACAAAATAAATTTACAAAAATTTTTCTGGTTAGTCATTCCAAAGTTATGGGACTTTTAACAGTCATTTTTGACACAATGATACCTTTGAAATCCAACTTCTTGAAAATATAGAGCAGATGTATTGATACCTTATCACTTAAAATTCTTAGAACATCCACAAACAAAATCTCAGTTGAATACCATTTGTCAGATGACTCATTCTGGAAGCTATTGCTTTTAAATGACGATTTTTTACCAATTTTAATTTTTTTTTAGAATATAATAAAAAAAGCTGTCATAGATAGAGAGAAACTTTAAAGGAGAAAAAAAATAGAAGGACAAATGTTTCATCCTGAAATCCACAAAAATTATTTCAACAGGAATAATAATAAACCAACAATATTCCTTATTTGGTATCATTTATCTCTTTTAATCACATTAATATATAAAGAAAATAACTATTAATTGAGTACGAGTACTTTTATTATCTTATCACAGGTAGCAATGAAGAAGCTGACCTTCATGCAAGACTGTTAAAACCATATCAGGAAAAAGTTAAGAGCTTGAGCGAAAAAAACATTGAATCCTCAGTAGAAGTAGCACCCCATGAAGCCGCTCATAACACATCAATAAAAAACGTTTATGAATCAAAAGAATCCGAAGTACCAATTTTGCAGCCAATTCCTAATTTTACACTTCCTGTAGCCACGGAATCTCAGGTTACACCTATTGCCACCACATCTCATGAACTACATCCAAATCTATTATTGGAACAAGCATATAGAGATATTGAACCCATGTTAAAATCAGAAGTTGATCTACATGACAAAGAGAATTATGCCACCTTATTGTTGTGGGATTCTGCAGGAGATGAAGAATTTTACCACACACATCAAACTTTTTTGTCTCCAGATGCAATTTATCTAGTTGTTACAAAACTCAATGAGGCTGATGAAAAAGAGGCACAAGGTAATGAAAGGACCAAACCTGTGATAAGATCTTCTAAATGCTTTGCAAAGAGTGCAGTAATAAGATAGTTCACAGTACCACGTATGAAAAAGATATAAAAACAATAAGGGTAAAAATAGAGTAAAAAAAACACACTAAAGATCAAATAGTATCAATCACATCCATAATACAGGTGAGCCCATGTGCTCCAGCTGGACATATCATGTTTATTGGGACAAAGAAAAATACATTGACAATGAAGAAACCAGTATTTATTCATAAAATAACTTCTAATTGTTTTACTCCATTTTCTTGCTTTTTACAAGTTTGTAATAGAAATTGGTATGCAGTCAACCTGAAATATTTTTCTTTATTGAAATTTAATTTCCTGCTAAGTTATCTAACATAGATTTTGTTTCGTGTTGTTTCATGACATAAGATTGTAAGGCAGTTATTGACAGTATTTTGTTTATTTCTATGGCAGATATGACATATAATTTGCATACATTATCCCGCAGCGTTGCTCTTCATTGCACAGGTGTAGCCTTTTCGGAATCTACGAAACAATTTATTACTGGTGCTATTTGAAGGTATAATGAAAATCATGTTTAGCTACATGTTGTATGCATCATTGTAACTTAGAGATGAAAATAAACACTGAATGTCATCGACCATAAAATACAGATCTGCTGTGAATGGTTACAACATTTACCAGTTTCTGGATGATAAGGATGATACAGCTTGACCAAAGCAACCATAAGAGACAGATGATGATGGTTTTCACATTTACCTGTCAAGTGTTATGACCCTTAAATACATTGAAGTTTGGTTTTCTTCCATAGCTGTTGGGTAATAATAATATCGCATGAAGTATTTATTATGAAGTGAACTGTTAAAATTAAATGCATAAAAGGCTTTTTAACCCAAATTTTGCGGTTCACTGAACATGGAAATATGATAGTGCTAGTAGAGCATGATGTCCTTAGGACACATATATTGTAAATAATGCGTTAATAATGAAACATTCTATTTCCTTCCCTGATATTATTGACTGCTATGAAAGGGTAACTATTTTATCTTCTTGTCTAATACAAAGAACATAAAAAACTTCATTGCATTTAGATAAATGCTGATGTAAAATCATTGTTCTATTACTTTATTTGTACTTTGTAGATTTTTTCCGGTTATGGATAGACTCAATACATTGCTACAGCAGACTTGAAGAGGGCAAACAAAAATGTGGTGAAAACATGAGTGCGTCTGATGGTCTTGACCCACCAGTAGTTATTGTTGGTACTTGGAAAGATGCTGTGACTTCAGAGCCAGAAGAGGTAAAGATAGAATTTTTGAAAGCCAATCACAATGTTCGTCCTCAATATTGATGATCATTTTGTTCTGTTATTTTAGTAAAATTCAAACCTTCATTTTACCTATGCCTATTACATTATCAAATAAAAAAAGTCATCTGATTAAAAACAAATGTTTCCAGGTGACAGAGGTTTTACCCTTAAACATTTTGTTATGAGAATCTCAACCCTGAAAATGAGCTCTGTCAACAAATAAAATAACAATATGATAGTTTTAATAAATTTCAATGTTTTGAAGGCATTTTACCTGTAAACTTCCTTGTTGAAAAGACTAAGCAAAAACAAATATTTCATTTCTTTTTTTAAGACTGAAGACGCATGCAGAGAGAACATTTTGATGTATACTGAAAATATTGCTGAAGATGAACGCGGACATATAAGGAATGAAGTGTTCATTTCCAATACAGAAGATGATAACTGTGTATTCCAGAAAATACGACAAGACATCTTGAAGTTAGCCAGAACGATGAGAACATGGAATATAGACTATCCTTTGAAATTTATGCAACTGGAAAAAAGTCTTCAAGAGAAGAAGAAGGAGATACCAATTATTGCCTTTCAGGAACTTAAGCACATCTCTACAGAAACATCAATGCCATTGAATGATGAGGAACTAATTTTGTTTTTGAAATTTCAGCACGAAATCAGAGCTTTGGTTTATTTTCAAGATCTTCCAGATTATATTATTTTAGATACGCAATGGTTGTCTAATGCTTTTAAATGCATAGTGACTGCAAAGAAATTTCGAGCTGTAAGCATCAAGAATAAAAAAAGATGGAAAGAATTTCATTCTAAAGGAAAATTACATAGTATGGTTTGGGAAGATATATTAAGAAAAGAAGAAAACATTTTGTACAAACACAAGGACCATATCTTGAATGGAATGGAGAAATTTGATATAATTATACGTCCAATCAAATCAGATAGATATCCTGCCGATGAAAGAATGTGTTATTATGTACCTTGCATGATAAAAGCAAAACCAGGTTGTGACATTTATGAAATGTTTAATGTGGCAGAAGATACCTGTAAAAAGTCCACTTGGATATGTTTTAAATTTAGGTTTTTGCCACCACATCTAATGAATCATTTGATTGCTTCACTGTGTCGGGAGTATGAAGTTTCAGAAGTGGGTGTCACCGAACAGGGTAAAACACAAGCAGAAAGGGTAATTGCTCTTTTCAAAGGGACTGCTGTCTTCGAGTTAGAGAAGATAACAAAACTAAGTAAATTACTTATAACAGCATGTCCAAATTTTATTCAGATGCAGATCTTAGAATTTGGTAGGAGAGCTATTATAAAGAGAGGTATGTACAAACACATTGCCGACTTTGTGACAGAGGAAATAAACAAAATTATAAGTACAAGATTTAGGATGACCAATATGAATTGCAGAATCCAGAATATTACTGTGAGACATGTACAAGAACGCACATGCTCATTGGTGAATGGTCAGATGTACAAAGTAATACACAATGCGTAAGTGAATTGTTCAAATATATGAGACATTAATGTAATTGCCTCTTCTAGAAATTTAAAATGAACACAATGCATGTAAACTCAGAGGCAAAGGGGTTTTAAGATAAGGAATTAAAAAAATATATACCAAAGAAATTAAGTAGAAATATATTTCAATGATTGGCAAACAACATCACAGCATGCAACACACAAAAGACTGAGAAACACAAAATTCTTAGTGAACTGTGTGCTACAGAAGGAAAAGCAGAAAATCACCAACACATTTCATTTGTTGACAAAGCATGTTAAATGTATGGCTACTTACTTGAAATGATACGCATAAAACATAAGAGATGATTTCATAGAAACTTTTCTCATAGGGGATAACAATATACCACCTTTTAAAATAAGGGAGTCTAACATGTGTACAATTCCCCGGTTACAAATCACACAGATGTGAACATGATGGGAGAAAGACAAATTACAGCGGGTTTACCGATTTTCAAATCTCAAAAGTAAGTTAGGCATATACAAATCTAAGTAAAAAAACTTGACAGAGGAAATCGTATGAAATAAAATAAGAGAGAAACAGGTTGCGTTGACAGGGTAAGCATTACTATCATATGCATACAAAACACGCCACGAGCGTAGACACTCAGTTAAAATGTCACAATGGTGTAAGGACACAATAAAAAAAATGACCGATCAGACGACCATGCTTGATTCTGATAATTGAAAATAAAAAATGAATTACGACACAGACATATCCTATGAGTCAACTAATTTTTGATGGGCCCCGTAACATAATGTATAGTCAGTTTCAGTCATTGTCCCACAAAGCTCTATTTGAGCATTTTTTGTGTCTGGAGCACACCCCAGTTAATGATGCACGTATATTGTGAACATGCACTATCATAGTATATTAATTGAGATATGCAAACGCCAAGCAATGGGACAGTGGGTATGCTACTGCTGAAAAATGGGAAATTGATGATGGAAAGCTGAAATCATCAAGTTTGTAATAGATTCGAGTTTAAAGTGGTCCATCTGTGTCAATGTCTAATAATAGATCAAGATATGAAGCAGACCTTTTACTTTATGAAGTATCCTTAATATCAAGTTTATGTGCATCTATAAGGTGCAAGCACTCACTGAAATGTTTGTTATTGAGTGACTGGAAATTACAAATGGCATTGAAACCTTAAACATCCTCATAGGTGGTGCCAAAATCTAAATTACGGTAGTCAATGCCTGGAGTTGATAAACCTTGGTATTTCAAATACTTCATATTTATAAACAGTAAATTCAAAGACTTTAAACGTATCAATATTCGTGTCAACAAATATATAGGAGTAATGATTACAGTTTTAAAGGGTTATTAAGAAATATTGTTATGATTTGTCTTTACGGGATAATTTTCATTCTATTTATGCAAATATTGAAATTTTATAATTTGTTTTTAGACGTAAAATGATTGCCAATGAAACAGCTATCCACCAGAGACCAATTAACGTTGATTTTAGCATCTATAGCCACATATTTTTATTCCTATTTTAGAGAAGAAATATCTAAAGAAGATTTGTTAAGGAATGAATGTGGTTTAATATGAAATAGATAGCCTAATTTTCAGGCGACGAAACATTTAAGCACATGCACATGACTTCACATTTAAAATTTTGAATAATAAAGAGGATTTTGACGTTACATCTGGTATTATCTGTAACTATTTTGTATATCATTTTCAGTTGACTCGGAGTTCTGACGATTTTCAAGAATCAAATCCCCAAGCAGAAACCAGTAGTAAAAACCAAGTATTTTCAACAAAGGTACCAGGCTTTTACAGACTATTTAGTGCATAAAATAATTGTTTTAATATTTCAATACAAAATATTCTGATCCCCAATTTGAAGAAAAAAAATATTGGGGTCAAGCAGATGACAAAAAAAAATATTTTGAATCCAGATTTACCCATACCTTATAGCGTTAAATTTTGAAAAAATAATTTGATTGATAGTGTCGAAAAACTAAAAAAAATGTTCGCGCTTTGCGCAAAAAACCGTAAATATGGTTCAAATCCTTGGTCAACCCATTATAAAAGTCATTATCCATTAAAGACGATTTTTTTTCCAATTTTGTACATTTTCTTATTATCTTGAAAACCATAATAGGTGAAGAGAAACGTTTTAAGGAAAAATTATCAGCAGAACATGATCACATTTATCAATATAGCCGAAATCGTCCGTCAACTCTTTTACATTAGTTATTGACCTTAAATGACGAACTTTACATTTTGTTCATATATGCCTATTATCGTGAAAACCATTTTCGACACAGAAAAACTTTAAGCAAAAACTTCAAGTACTACAAGATCTACAACTAAGTTAATATTGGCTAAAGTTGCTCTCCGTCATTTGTTGGGTGGTCTCTGGTGGGTAGCTGACACGTTAGCATTCCTATTGCATATAAAATGGCAAAATATAACAAGTTTACCAGTTTTTTGCACAGGAATATTACCCATATGTTGAAGTTGTGCACCTGCTATCATGGAATTGTTTAAAAAAAATTTCCCCATTTTTCTAGACTTGGGAACTAAGTAAATTTTTAGCAAAATTTATGAAAGAGGGCACAAGTTTTGTGTAATCAACTCCTCCTACAGTTTTCAACCCAGATCCCTGACACTTTTCAGGAAGATTGTACATTCGTTAAAGTTGTGCATCTGCTTTGTGGAATTGTTAAAGGATTTTTTAACGTTTTTCCAGACAATAGAACTTAGTCATTTTCAGCTAAATTTATTCACAAATATTGCAACCCAGCCATTTTAGTCTTTGACCTATTGTTGCCTTTTATCTTAGAAACTATAATAGATAGATAGAAATTAATGAAGGTAAAAATAATAAGAGAGACAATATTTACGAATAGGTCAATCATAGTCAAAATTCTATGTAGATTATTTATAGGAGCTATTGCCCGTAAGGATGACGATTTTTACCCTTCTTTCCCATATTGGCCACATATTTTTTGTCAACAATAGTATGATCAGCAAACCAAGATCTACAAATAGGTCAACAAAGCTGAAATTGTCAGTCCAACTCTTGTAGGAGTCTAGCTCTTGATGATGATTTTTACCATCATTCAAGTTAAAATTATAGCCTGGTATCCTTGATGAGTTTTTACCAATTTTTGTCTTTACGCAAACACTAAAGTAGATTGAGAGAAACGGTAAACAGAAAAATTATCAACATTACAAGATCAACAAAAAATGAATCCAGTCAATGTTGCAAATGAAGATTAATATAAATCCGGGTGAGCAACACAGGCTCTATAGAAACTAAAGTTTCAAGACTGACAACCATGTCTGAAAGTACAATGCAAAAAGTCCAATACCTCTTATTCAGTTATCAAGTTATTGTTTCATTTACGAGAGGAACATATTTTGTAGGTGTGTTGCAATGTCCAAAGTTGTATGGAAACATCAAATGTATCTGAAGAGTTAACCACAACAGGCAGTTCGACAAGGGTATGTTATGCCGCAATTTGGTCATGAGTTAAGGTTATTATGGGTTGTCAATTAACTGATCATGCTTAATTTCGTAGTGTGCATCTTAAGGATTAAGCAACATAAAAAAAACCTCACACACATAAACTTTGGTAGTGACATTTTTTTATGTTTGAGAATAGCATGAAAAACATTTAAAACCTCACACATAGCAAACATAGAAACTTGGCTTGTGACATGTTTTTATGTTTTAAAAAAGCGGAAAATATAGTGGAAAATGAATTAAGAGCTAAGTTTTAAAATTTAATTCATATTTTTTTTTCGTTTGTTTCATGTACCCATTGTCTCTATGAGTTATCAAATCCAAAAAATATTGTTTTAAAATTCCTTCTTTCCCGGGAAGAAAAATAAGTTAAATCTAACTATTAAAATTTAACATTATTTTATTTTATGTGTTTAAATGTGAAAAAGTATAATCAATGACTTTTAAATTTTTCATTTTTCAAATATTAAGCTTTCTAACTATGTGTGTTGATGAAAAATTATTTATGATATGCAACTTTAGTATGGTATGTTATTGCATCAACATTTATGCATTTTGTTGCAAATAGTTTACTCCAGTAAGTTTCAAATTTTTCAAATCTTTGATTTTCTGATAATTATAAAGATGTGGCATGATTGCCACTTAGACAACTATCCCTTAATACCAAAGTACAAATAGTAGATCAGTTACAGGTAATTAAGCTCATTAAATAAAAAAGATACAGGTAATTTAAATGGTTGTATTGGTTTATTATTGCATTAATTGATATGCTTTATCTCGATCAAACATGATTAAAGGGCAGATAATCAAATTGTCAGGGCGGGGGTGTCCTGTTGCGAGCTAACTTATAATTCTTGTTTGGTATGATAACATCTTCGTTACAAGTCCTATATACGACAATGCTACTTTTTCTGATATTTCTGATATAAAAGTTGAATTGTTGAAGGATATTTTGTGTATTATATAACCATTCAGGAACGTAAAAATGATGAGCTAGAGTTTCAATAATGAGGATAAGTGTGCTGTATATTTGCCAGCTGGTTTGAAGAAGACCAAGTTTAAAAAAATCAGTTACTAAATACTCAAACTTTATCTAGTATTTTTTGTTCTGTACATATTTTACATCACTTTATGTTATGCATTTGATTTAATTTTCAGTTTTCTAAGGAGGAGATCAATTTTGCAAAGATGGGAATGATTGTCATGGGGTTGTCAGTGGCAAAGAATTAAAAAAACAGACATAACCATTGGAGATGATGTTGAACGTATACGTCTTACAAGAAATGAACTACAACACTCAAGGAACTTTACACTCGATGATACACGTTTTAATGAGTTAAACAATATAATACTTGATCTTGTTAACAGATTTAATCACCAAAAAAAACCAGCAAGGCTGTATACAGATCACCTTAACGAAATTTTATCCAAAACAGTATCTGCAAATGAAGTGAAAATTCTTCAGTATCAGATTAAAAATGAAATGAAATCAGGTAATCTTACTTTAATTTGATAAACTTTTATAATATTGAAAGATTATCCAGTGTTTGTGAATAATAATTTTAAACTTTGAACTGTCTTTTCACCTGTTTGAGTATGTTTGTGCTTCTCTGACTATTGACTTTTACACTATTTTCCATTTAAAGAAATAAGCTATTATTAAAAAAATCTTTCATTGCGAAGAATTTTGCAAGATAAGACCTCTTTTTACCTGCTTCACAGAAGGCGGAAGCAGGTCTAGTAACCGCTCGACTCCGTCTGTTTGTAAGTCTATGAAAAGGAAGGAGTTAATTTGTGATGTGCAGCTTGGGAATGTTGAGTTGTAGCGAGTTCGCAATTTTTACATATGCCGTACAGCCATTTCCTGTTTGCCGATAGTTTGAAATTTTACAACACTCATTGTACAAGGGAATTTTTCGTCAAGGTTTTCTTGACTTCTATGAAAGGGATTGATTTAATATTTGGTCTGCAGCTTGATAATGTTGAGTTGTAGCGAGTAAGCAATTGTAATATCTGCAATGTATTCAATTTCTGTTTGCCAGTACTGAAGTAGACGGCGTAGAGATTTTCTGCTTTGTTTTTTAATTTTTATAAGACGGTTTGTGAGTTTGAAACCTGCTTATGGCAGTTGGGTTCTTTTCCAATCTTAAATTGACTAGGATTGTTGGTTATTTGCGTGAACTCTGGTTTCCTCTCTCAAATCAAAACTGGATGCCGCCATAAAGCCAATAGTACTAGATGTGGTGTTAAGGAGTTCGCTTTTCTTGTTTTTGAGATTTTGTCAGATATTCAGAATCCTCTGGCTTTTATCCATGTGGTGCAGTTTAAGCATTTTGTCTGCTAACTCCTACTTTTTCTTTTCATAATTTTAGCCCATATCGTTTAATAACCCATTTTTTTAAAATCTTATAAAGTCCTTGTTATTTTTTCATAGTTTGTAAAAGAAAAAAGGTACCAAAGTTAAATGTATGAAAAATCTAGAGAGGATCATTTCCCTTCAAAGGCTTATATCTCAACCACAAGGACATTGACCCTGCATACTTTTCTTCTTTTCGAGTTCCTTTATCTGTATACTATTAATTGATAACAATATTTATTATTTTGAAATAATGTAGCGAACATCAATTGTTATTAGTTGTTTGATAGTCATGCTGGTGTTTATGAGATATATCAATCGTTTAAATGGTTCACATGCAGTGATATTTTTTATTTTATTTTTAGAAATGGCTGTTGAAGTTGAAATTGAACAACAAATAAATGTTTCACCACAATAGAACAGATTTGTAGAGGATTGATCCAATCTCAATAGATGAAAATCAACTTGTAAACAGCATTGACCAATTTTTTAAATTGTGCTCCGAAATGTGAATATTAAGCCCAAATTTAATAAACTGACATATTTTCAAATGTGGTATTATAGTTCAGGTAGTCATCCTATTGATAGTGTAATCCAAGTAGAATTATTGGAACGAAATTAAATGTTTTGATCTGAAAAGGAAATTGAAATATCAGGCCAAAACTGAAAATTTTAAATGAAGGTCAGACATTTGAACAATTATTGAAATATTGGACACCTTCAGCTTTTTTTATAACACAAAAAACATGTATTATAAACTATAATGCAAATATTGCCATAACTGTAATTTTAATAATTAATGTGTACATGAAAAGAATATGTTTAACTAAATTTGATAATGTGCTGTAATCTGCAATTTACGAAAAATGTGTACATGAAAAGAATATGTTTAACTAAATTTGATAATGTGCTATAATCTGCAATTTACGAAATTGTAAAAGGCAATTAGAGTGAAACAAAAGACCTAACTGAAAAGAACTAGTAGAGCAAAAATTTCAGTATGTCTTTGATTAAAAGACAAACTTGAAAGTAACAATCATTGTATAGAATTAAATACTCTGCAAAAGAGAGGCGAACGATACCAAAGGGATAATCGAACTCATAAGTCGAAAAGAAACTGACAATGCTATGCCAAAATACGAAAAACGACCAAAAGACAAACTACAGTATACAAATCACAACATAGAAATCTAAAGACTGAGCAAAATGAACCACACCAAAAACCGGGGGTGATCTCAGGAGCACTGGAAGGGTAAACATATCACATGTGGCACCTGTCGTGTTGATCATGTACGTACAAACCCATTGATAAGTCAGATTCAGTATGTCACATTCGAGGAAAAGAGGACGGATTGAGGTTACGACATTTGGGACATCTCTGTCGTCATTTGTGAAACAGACTTGTGATGACGTAGTTAGATTAGATCAATTAAAACATAACTAAATATGTATTGCAATGTAGTAATGAGCAGTTACAGTCCTACATCTTGTTGATGCATATATTTTGGCACAAGGTCATGTTTTTTTCTCAGGCAGCATATGACGACTGGTCTGTAATTTTACCAATTTTGTCCTATTCTAGATTATGACATAGCAGGAGATTCTCACCCTTTCGACGCAGTCGTTTTTCGCTCCTTCTGGAGATCATGTACAAAAAATGTAATTCCCACAGTTTTTTCCCTAGATTTGTCGATTTACGATATTTGAACATCGGTAAACTACTGTCATCTTATATTCACACTTCATTTTTTAAATCTATTGGCTATGTACTGACTATACATGTACTGATTTAAGGAAAACAACAATTTGTGGCATTTGTTTTTTTTTTTTATCCCAGTTTAAATAACGTTGTATTAAAAGAGAGGTCTGAAGAAGCATCATAACCAATTATTTACTTACAAACATTCGTACGTAAAATATTATTATGGTGGGGGATTGAACGTATGTTTGACTTCTTTTGAACTGAACTTAACTGTGCGTATTGCTGTGTGTTTGTTTATTCCTCATTGGCTAGAGGTATAGGGGAGGGTTGAGATCTCACAAAACATGTTTAACCTGCCGCATTTTTGCGCCTGTCACAAGTCAGGAACCTCTGGCCTTTGATAGCCTTATATCTTTTTTAAGTTTTGGTTCATTTACATGTTTCGGAGTTTAGTGTGACGTCCATTTTCGCTGAACTAGTATACATTATTGTTTAGGGGGCAGCTGAAGCCCGCCTCCGGGTGCGGAATTTCCTCGCTGTGTTGAAGACCCATTGATGGCCTTGGGTCGTTTTCTTCTCTTTGGTCGGGTTGTTGTCTCTTTTACGCATTCCCCGATTCCGTTTCCAATCTTATTATTATTAGTTAAGGTTGAGGTTTTTTGTCTTGTAAATGGGAGATAACCGAATTAAAAACACGTTCCACAGTCATTCCGACTGTATGGTTGCATACATTTTTGGGGCCCTTTATAGCTTACTGTTCGGTGTGAGCCAAAGCTCCGTGTTGAAGACCGTACTTTGACCTATAATGGTTTACTTTTTTAAATTTTTACTTGGATGGAGAGTTGTCTCATTGGCACTCATACCACATCTTCGTAGATCTATTTACATACGTATGCATGGAACGGTTAGATAAGATTTTTCGGGTCAAAAGGAAATAACTCTTGCCAATGTGTAACAAGACTGATACTTCTGCCAGATACAACCTTTATGTCGCTTCTGTGGACGTCTTTGATACATGTAAGACTAAGCATGAATAATTTATAATCGTCACTGTCCCTTTTTAAATCAAGCAACCATTTTTTTCTAAACAAAATTGGAGACTAATTATAAATAAAGGCAACAGTAGTATACCGCTGTTCAAAAGTCATCAATCGATTAAGAGAAAACAAATCCGGGTTACAAACTAAAACCGAGGGAAACACATTAACTATAGGAGGATAACAACGGAACAACAGAAACACTGAACTGCAACAAAAACAAACGTCAACATACATAGAAACGGACTATTTGATAACAACGGCCATACTCCTGACTTGGTACAGGACATTTTAAGAAAAAAGGGTGGGTTGAACCTGGTTTTATGGCTAGCCAAACCTCCCGCTTATATGGCAATGTTATAAAATATCGCTAAAATGACAACACTACGTGTCAGGAATACAGTACAAATAAACGCAAGAACAATCAGCACAGAGAAATGCATAAATAAATAATATAATAGTACATTACAACATGTAAACCGCAGAACAACAACCGAAATCTCCCATTAACGACAGCACAGGACACCACAAGCTGCTCGTCACATGAATGGATCAACGCCACAAAAAGTGACGTATTTTTGTGACGTATATATAATCTTGAAATTCATACAATTATATGGAACAAGATCCAAAAATTCACAATTATTTCCACAATACTAGTTGAAAAAATTATCATGATTATGACGGTCTTGAAAGGCTATTTTAAATTAATGCTGTGACGACGTCATAATAATTTGGACTAAAACAATACTTTATCCATGGAAAATGGAAATTAACTCAACTATTATTGACAAATAAGACATATGTGAAATGTACCGAAAATACAGAATTCAAACCACAAACGATAAGACATAACACATTATCGAACCGTACTTACAAAAGAAACATCATAACTAAATACATGAATGTCGGATGTATAAATACCGAGACACGTCGTATAGCAATGCGAATTCACACTCGGCAAAACAGTCATATTCGGGAATAGGTCACGTTCGGTACTTAGCAGACAGACGACGTAGATGGTAAACTACAATCTAATAAAGGCAACAGTAGTATGCCGCTGATCAAAAGTCATAAATCGATTAAGAGAAAACAAATCCGGGTTGCAAACTAAAACCGAGGGAAGACTTGGTAAAAATGTCGTTAGTTAGTTTAGACACAGACACATCGTCAAACAATTCGTGATGGTGTCCATAAAATTTACGGAGTGTCATTTTTAATCTTTCCTCATAACTCTGTTGGAGCAGTTTCTGCGTAAGGAGCACAATCCTGTATATGAAGTCCGTATAGTGTGAACATGCACGAGCATAACGTATAATTGATATATGTTAACACCATACGACGGAGCAGAGGGTATGTTACTGCTGAGAATTGGGAAATTGATAATTGGGAAGTTGAAATCATCCCGTTTGTCATAGATTTTAGTGTGAAGTCGTCCATCTGTGTCAATATTGAGGAAAAGATCAAGGTATGAAACAGTCCTTCTTGTATCAGTAGTATCCTTAATTTCAAGTTTACTGGGATATATGAGATGCAATTGCTGACTGAAATATGGGTTATTCAGTGATAGGACATCATCAATATATCTGAAAGCAAAATTAAAGAATTTCGCAAGGTGCTTTTTCTTTTTGTCTTTTAGAAGGTTCTGAATGAATTCTGCTTCATTCGAGTACAAAAACAAATCGGCCAGAAGGGGTGCACAATTAGTACTCATTGGAATACCGACTGTTGAAATATCAATCCTCAAAACTCAAAAAATATATTGTCGATTAAAAAGTCCAGCATTTTGATAATATCATCTTTAGTGTATTTTCTGATAGAATCAGTGTGGTTCTTCACAAAATAAGAATTATTATAACCCAAAACAAGAAATGTATATCTACGATTCCCATTTTTATAGAAAAAAGCTCTGTTTAATGAGATGGTGAAGTCGATCCTTCAATTAAGCATGGGGAGTAGAAGTGTAAATCGTAGAAAATTCAAAGGTCTTAATGTTGTTGCAAAATTGCAGAGATTGCGATCTAAGATTTAGCAGTAGATCTTTAGAATTTTTGAGGATCCACATCTGATTGACACAACTGGTTGAATATATCTCATCACAATATTTTTGAAGGTCCATCTTTTACTGTAGAAAGAATAGTAGTCAGCACTTTAGAAAGATGTTCAGTCGAACATCTTGATGATCCAGCTATGTATCGTTCTTTATAAGGAGTTAAATTTTGTGAAGTTTTGGTATCCAGTATAATGACGGTAGATTTTCGTCGTTTTCTTTAATGCTAATCCCAATAAAAGACAGATTTGTGATTTTGTAAAATGTCATCCTTTGTAAATGATGTTAAAGAATATGTAAGATTGCCAGTTGTGCTGTTTATTCGACTATCTTTTGTGAGACATTCCAAGTAATGGTTTTTACATACGAAGACAATATTATTGCAGGCTTTATCTGCTGGAACAACGACATATTTGTCATGCAAAGAGGATAAGGCATCCACAACCTCCGGGTTCTTGAATGGGTTAGAAACCCTTGTGCTCGTAGTACATCGTATTTTCTGAATGCGCTTCTGAATGCATGATCAAATAGCTTTAATCCATTCAGACAAAGTGTCCAGTCCGGTTCGTCTGGTTCGCGCTTTATCCATTTTCTAGCATACTCCTCAACTGCATCCATAAGTAACCTGAAGTTCTTTTTCCAATTGATGAGCTGGGGACGTCTATATTTTGGTCCCTTGGCTAACAACTCTCCAAGTTGTTCATTGGCTACGATGCCAAGGTCGCCAGTAATAACATGACCAGCTAGACCATAATTGTATTTTGTC